GCCCCCCCCCTACCCCGCAGGAGCTCGACGGCCAGCCGGCGGCGCCGGACGCGCCCGCGGCCACAACAGACCTCTTTGGCATCTGGCAGACCGACCCCTGGGAGCCCCCGGCCGCCGCCAACGGCCGCGTGCCGCGCAACGACAGGGGGAATATCGAGGTCCCGCCCTTCGCCAAGGCGCTGCCGCGGGGCACGGCGCATCTGCACGCGCAACAGGGGCTGGTGGCGGCGTGCCGGGCGCTGGGGGTCGATTTCGCGCCGGCGCTGGCCGGGTTTGAGGCGCAGGGGGGGCGGATGGTGCCGAAGCTGGATGGGGTGGTGGTCTGCGAGGTGGGTTTGGGGCTGTGGTTTTTTGGGGTGCTGTATCTTCAATCAGTTGGTAGAGAGCAAGGGGCTGCAAAGGCAGCTTGCAGCGTGCGTCGCAACGGTGGTGCTGGAGTTGGGCAGGGTGGGGTGCGTGTGGGGGACCGTTGGTGTGAGCAGGGTGCGGGTGGTGTGGGCAGGGCGAATTATGTCCATTTTGAATCGGTGCAGCGTGGTCATCAGGTCTGCGGCTTGTTGGGCGGTGGGGGCGGGCATACAGGCTGCGCTACCAGGGTTGCTGAGAGCGGCCGCAGCAAAGCTGCGCTCCCCCTTTTCTCCCGCCGGCCAGCCGGCCCGCGATCCGCCCTCCCGGCATCCGGCTGCCCTTCCAAGGGCATTGTGTGCAGCTGCGACCTCCTGCCGGCCGGCCCGCCGCCCATTGCATGGCGATTGCCCGCCTTCTCATGCCGCTGCCGCAGGAGCAAGCCCAGCTGGTGCTGGACGCCCTGGCGGAGCAGCAGGCTGACAGGGCCGACAAAGCCGCCAAGGCGCGCCGCCGCGCGGTCGAGGTCGCGTGGCTGCAGCTCGTGCGCACGCTGCGGCGGCGGCTTGAGGTTGACCGCGGGTTTGACCGGGAGCTGGGGGGCCGCGGCTTGAACGATGAGCTCATGGCGGCGGCGGCGGCGGCGGCGGCGGCGAGCGGGGGCGGCGGGGGAGGGGCGAAGGGGAAGAGGGGGCGCACGGCAAAGGAGGCGGTCGAGCGGGCGGCGGAGGAGGACGCGGCGGCGCGCGGGGGCGGGCGGCCCGAGGGTGGAGGCGGCGCGGTGGACGCGCTGCGGCGGCGGGGGCGCGGCGGTGCGGCGGGCGCATCAAGAGGGCGGGGCCGCGGCGGGGTTGGCGGCGGGAGCGGAGAGGGGCAGCCGCGGCCGGTCGAGCAGCAGCGAGGCGAGGGGTCGCCAGAGGCGCAGCTGATGGATGGCGTTGACGTTGAGGAGTTTTGACTAAGTGATGTAGGTGCTCCTTATTGTTTATTCACTTACTCGCCAACCCCCACAAACATTTGTTGACATGGCCAGCTGCTCGGCCTGCCGCCATGTTGCACTTTTCCCAGCAGCTGCGCCGCCGCCCTTTTCTGGGGCCCGGCTGCGCTTGCCATCCTGACTGCAACGCACGCGCGTGACAGTGATGAGGGTGGTGCGGGGCAACATCGACAGTTCGCCTCTGCAGCAAGCGGGGCCGCCCGTCGCCGGGCGCGTGTGTTTTTCTACCAGTCATTGCTGACGACCCACCAAGTGCGTGCCAAGGGTGATGCACGTGGAGCGGGGCGCACGATACCGCAATCGCACCGCGCGCAGAGTATATGACCGCCAGAGGTGTCTTGAGGTGCCAGGACGCAAAAGTGGTCACGTTACTATTTAATCAGGGATGGGGCCCAGCTGGGGCCCTAAGTCGTGATTGTGACGTCAGCCGTCTACTGGCCCCACAGAACAGCTTGCGACTCTTCACAGCAAGGTTTTGCAGCAGAAACGAATCACCGAGGGGTCACGCCCGTGTACAGCCGGAGCGAAGTCCACCGCATGCGCCTGGCAGCGCTAGGGCGCCCTGCAAACACGACAGCGTCGCGCACAGCTGCGACGCCACCGTGGCGAGCGGCCAGCCGCCTGCGCCGCAAACGCCGACCCTGCCCTGCAGCCGGCCGCCCGCCTCCCCCACTCAGCCCTAGCCAAGCACTCAGGGCCCTCATACAAACGAGGGCCCCGCCCACACGGCCGCACGCCCGACCGCAGCACAGGGGCGCTGGCCCCTTGCGCGAACATGGGCCCGAGGCATTGGCCACGCCCGGCGGGGCAAGGGGAGGGCCGCCGCGCGCGCCCGCCGGGCGGGGGCTGCCGCGGCATATGTATGAAAAAATCGGGTGTCGTCAGCTGATGTCGAGGCACACGTCCAGCTGCGAGATGTCAAACATCAAGCTGCCGTAGTCCACGTCCACCGCGTTGCCGCCGCCGCCGACGTGCCTGCGTGGGGTGCCAGTGCATGCGTGTGTGGGGAGCC